TGCACTTTAAAGGTTCTGCATCGTAATCATCAATAGTATCCAGTGTCTGGCTAGATGAAATGATAATTATGACTATTATGATGATGATAATGGATGATGATCATAGGGTTGGATGATGATGAAGATACTGGTGATGTTAATGATGATAAATGACGATTTTGATGAAGGATGATGGTGGTGGTAATGATGATGATGATGTTAATGATGATGATGATGATGATGACACCGGTAATGATGATGATGATAATCGTTACAAATGATTATGATTACAGATAATGCTAGTGCTGGTGATGGTGATTTTGGTGATGATAAGGATGGTAAATGTAATGGTAAATGATGATGATACTGGCGATTGCAGATGATGATTGCAGATGATGTTAATGATATTAATGATGACGATGCTGGCGACTGTAGATGATGGTGATGATAGTAACAATATATGATGGACAACTTAAGTACATTCTCACTCTTGTTCTATAGGAGGTTATTATACTGGACGAAGTCTAGCCTRGGACCAAGGCCTTTCATCAGAATCATTCACTGATAACCAGCAACAACCAGAAACAGTATTCAAACCCCCAGTCCAACCTTCAACCGCTGCAATCAAAAAGCACCACAAACATGCTTCAAAGACTGCAAGATTCCTCAAAGGCGAACTGAAGCTTTTTCGAGGCAAACATCAACACAATACTCGTTATAACAGATCCATGGAAGGCACCTTTGGGCAAGACGATTTGAATAATTCCATGACAAGCTCCATAGGACAATGCTATAGAGGTTCGCACAACAATTTATCAGTTTCCACTAAAACTGTTATGGATCGACAAATCAATGAACATTTTTCTGCATCAAGAAGCTGGCACTCTACAAAAAACGTAAACGAAGCCCGTCAAAACAACGGCTTTGATTCTAACCCAGATGAGGTCCAAGTTTTGAACCCAAAATATGAAAATATTTTCCAAGGTTCGGGCGAACAGGGTCGACCGTTGATGAAGTACAGCCGAGCTTTTGGAGAATCTGCGAGAAGGCAAAAATTTCCTGAAGATGATGTTGCAGTAGAAGATGTTGAGGAAGACTTTGATGTCTCCGAAAAACAAACTCCAGTAAATCAACTTTATAGGCCAAAAGCATATAGATATTAATTACATTTACTCTTTAAATCATTTTCAAATCTTGCCTTTTTAAATTATTTTCGTGAAGTTTGAGTTTTGAATATTCTTATAAAGAAAACTCATAAATAAAGCTTAGGTTGGGAAGTATTCCTGTCAAATTAGTTTATGTTTAAAAAGATCGGATAATTTCTATGTAAAAAAAAGAAGAATTCTCAAAAGCAAATTTCATACATGGTTTGTATATAAACAAGGTTTACTTTACAAAATTACATTTTGGGTTTGTAAAAGTTTGCGATTTATTCAGCTTGTACCAATATATCAAACATATGGAGACAATTTTCTTTCCCTTGGGGAAAAAGACCATAACAGCGTTAGTTTAGCGTGACTTGAGTCACAGAATTTCAATAGAATTTAAAAAAAAAGTAGTTTATATATAAATAGCTTGTACATTATTTGAACTTCTTGTTTCGCATGAATATCGCATGATTACAATACCAGTTGTTAAGGAAGAAATGTTGGAAAGGGTTGTTTGTAAAAGTTTTAAAATAAAGTCTGGTTGAAATTGAATTTTAGTTCGCATTTTTATGCGCAAAAATCTGGGTCAAAAATAAACCCCATGAAAAAGGATGGCATTATAAACAAACCACCTCAAGAAATACAAAGTAAGATTTCAACCAATCAGCGTGACGCTTGTCGGCTCGGCTTTGTTTACTTTACCTGGATTCAAAATGGCGGTCCTAGGAAAACGTAAATGCCAGAAAGAAATGCAAACGAATATATATATGTATAAAAGTAGCGCAAAATGAATGAACATTTTTGAATGTTACTGCAATGTTCATAAACATGCGAACTTGCACGCCGAAAAAAATWWTTTTTTTTTTGCTTCTGCCAGTCAAAAATATGAAAGGTACCGAATGATTAGGTTTGATCGACAGCAGCGTAAAACCAACTTTCAGCGTGCACCTCGCAGACACAGAGTTCGCATGTTTATGAGAATTGYAGTAATGACATTCGTTCAACTATATGTGGAAATCTTGGTGCAACTGTAAAATCTCGGAAAACATTCTTATTTCTCCAYCACACCAACAGACCTTTGGTCAATCATACATGACTAAAGTGTTTGACTCTTGGTGGATGGCCATACAAGAATTTAAGAAATTTTTTTGAAATATAAAAAAAAGTTTTGTTTTTGCAAAATTTCAACATAAAATCRCTAGTAATGAATATTGAAATAAAAATTATAGGATAAARRCTGCAATTTCGGTGWGAAAAACGTTTTTYGATCCGYGATCCGAAGTCCAGTCCAGTYCAGGCATGCCCGGTTCCTGAATTTCCAAGAATAAAAAATCTCTCAATATTCCGAATCTARAGACAAAAATCATTTTTTAGAAGTGTGGCGTGTATTTACTATAAATTAGGAATATCCGTGCCCTTTCAAATGCTGAAAATTCGGGAGAATWTTTTTTCATCTAAAATCCGGTTATACGACTTCCAATCCATCCGTTGTACACGATTCCTGATTTTTCAGAATCGCTTAATTTGAAGAGTCGAGAAAAATTTTATGTAATAGGGTTCTTTCCCACGCTTTACACAATATCACAGGTGCATCCACCGGCTTATAACTTAAAAAGAACAAGTTCTTTTCGTAGTGAGACTGGCAAACGCGTGATGGACACGCGTGCCAGCGCTCATATGTTTGGTTGTCTATTTACTTCCTTGAGCTTATTTGATCACTTTTGAAACACAGGTTTTTAATTTATCAAAAATTAAAACGTGTTCTTGTGTTTACTGTATATTGAAACCTCTCCTTACGGGCACCTCTACATTGAGGACACCTTTATATAGGACACACCTCTACATTATGGACAACGGGGGACTTTTCCTTACGGGCACCTCTATATTGAGGACACCTTTATATAGGAACACCTCTACATTACGGACAACGGCGGACATCTCCTTACGGACACCTCTATATTACGGACACCTCTATATTACGGACACCTCTATATTATGGACACCTCTATATTACGGACACCTCTATCATATAGATATAGGACACCAAAATTACAGACAATATTTATGTCCCGGCAAAATCACCATCATGTGCATTTTTTGTTAATCCGACCTCTATGTATTAAAGACACCTCTATAATACGGACAATTTTTTCTGGCTCTTTGGTGTCCGTATAGAAGCTCTACTTTACTTTTCTTTCTTTTCTTTTCTTTTCTTTTTTTTCCCCCGCTTTTTTTAAACGTATTTCGTACCTTTCCATTTGTTTCCCATACCCCTTCAACTTGACTGAGTTCGCTCCGTAGCTACTACGAGAACTGATTCTTTGTTTATCAAGATACAACAAAATAATTCGAAATGGCCATGCAAAGAAACAGGTGTCATTTCAAATTCTCTAATTTAAAATGTTTATACAATTTTATCTTCAAAAGTTTTTATTCAATTTTACTCTATTAAATGTGTATAGGTTCGCTTGTGGCCAATTGAGAGAACGAGCGAAAATTTAGAGCCAGTTTCTTCAACTGAGAATTTTCCAAAACAAGTTTCGGGAAATGAAACGCTGTTAGTCAAAGTGATTGTTTATACTGTGACTAAAATTTTAGAAATAAATGAAGATTAGAGCTTTTTTTTCCCTGTTATTCAAAAATATGTTGTAAAATTCGCAGCAAAAGAATGGTTACTTACTTGAACGGCTGTGTTGAGTAAGTATTTAGCAGGTGCCGAAGATGTGCTAAAAAAGGAAAAATAAAAACAAAGCTAAGAAGTTCAACGATCAAAATTTGGTAAATTTTCTTTAGTAGTAAAACTTAAGTATGAACCGTGTTGTTAAGCATGTGAAGTCTTTACTGCATTTTCAAGGGAAAGTTCTGAAAAAATATTAATTTAAGAAGTAAGCGTGTAAGATGTTGTTTTCGTGTAATTATATGTATGAAAAACAAAAAATTCTTTGTGCGAACAGTTTGTTCACAGTAGATGACTGAAAATCGAATTGTTTGTCATTGTATTCCTGCCATTTTGCTTTTTTTGGACTATACTAAAGCTTTCATTCAAGCGAAGAAATATTGATATGATATTCGCCTGAAAATTGTTGCTTGAAGCCGATGATGAGCAAAGAGTGATATGATGAAAAGTCTTCTTCGCTTGCGGCGAAGAATCTTCTACGGGTGGAGCACACGTGTTAACAAGTAACATTTGCGAGATTCAATTCCGAACAATGACAGTAAAAGAACAGCAAAATAAACCAAAAACCACCTTGAAAAGTGCCCATTCATGACGACTTGTTTGGGGGAATTACTTAAAGAGGTGGTTTAATTGAAGATAGCACATTGGAGTCAACAGCAATTGTTTCGTCAAGTGATCTCAGGGAACATACCGTGGGAAGAATCTTTCATCATAAAGGAACAGATCTTWGGAAGTTTTGAGTTTGAAGTAACAAATTTGGTAGAACACCTGACAGTATTGTTCTTGTTGTACACAAACAYCAAAATTAAGTTATGTTAATGGCGATTAATGTGACTGAGTTTGAATTCTGTTAAGTTTTAGAATGAGCAGTTGTCTTAGGTATCTTGTGGTACTTAGGCTATTTTATTTGCCTTTTCGCTAATATTTGATATGATTTGTTATATTCTTTTCAATCTTTCATTTTATTTATAATTTCGTTAAGTTTTCATATGCTTTCTATCACCATTCCAAATTTACCAAACTCATCGGTAATCTATACCGGACTTCCAGATCACATTACTTAACATTAAATTGCGCATGACTTGTCTAGCTCTTTTTTCCGAACAAACACGACCCACATGGGCCAGCGTGAGAAGAAAAATATAGTTATCAGAAAAACTTTTCTCAAACCGTTGGTCATAGCAAGGGGTTAATCATTTACGGTCAAGGGGCCGACTAGCCTCTCCCTTGGGCTTCGGCCGAGCTTCTTGATCAGTCACTGGATAGCGGTGTCGGGGTCGAAATCTCTGGTATAGTCGTAAATGCTTCGCGCTGCCATACTGTGCTTCAGCACAGGGTCTGGAGGTATGGTCCTAACGTTTTCTAAAAAATAAAATAATAATAGCTTTATTTAAGCGTTAATATATTTAGTTCATACAACTAATCGGAGACTTAAAAGTAATTATATCAAGTCGAATTTTAATTACAATCTGTTTTATTCTATTTTCTGTGAACTTTGTATTTGGCTACTACGATGTTTGGGCCCAGTTTTCTTTGCGCCCGCRGCGAAGTTGAAAGAGTGAAAAAATATGGAGATCTGACAATGATTAAAGRTCATTCTTTTCGGAAAACTTCAAACTTTAAACTATTAAACCCTGATCAAAGGCAGATCGAATCGGAATTTAGATTAATAGTTAGGGAGGAAATTCAACTGCAGAAGCCCAAATGACCTTTGCTCTTCAAGAAAATGCTGTGTCCTCATTTATGTGTGTTATTTTATCTATCACCTTATTGCCAAATAGAACTAACAATTAATCAATAAAAAAAAAATAGCTTCAATAAGGTGTCCGCTATTTTGAAGTCGCTAGATAATGATGGGGAAATCATATGACACAAATCAGTAATGATGAAAAGGTAAATTATACACCGTGAAAAGATGTTTCGGACTCCGACGAAGGACTAGCGTCCGAAACGTCAGTAAGTTTTTTCATCTTTTCACGGTGTATAATTTACCTTTTCATCATTACTGTTTCATTAGAAACACCGACGCAGCTCATACTAGTTTTTARCTAGTTATATCTTCTCATAACACAAATCAGTAAATTGGGAAACGAAGTCGTYGAAAMAATCTCKTTTCTTTTAATTTAATTGAAGCCAAAGAGAGTAGAATACCTTCGGAATATCGAAGTGTGGTAATTCAATGATTGGGGCTTGAAATCGTTCGTTTACAAGTTTCGTGCTACGATAATCTACTGATCAAACGTTTTYATTTGTGCAATTGTTTCATAGATCAAAACACAACAATACACCACCTACYAAATTTGTCTTTCTCTTTCTCTTTACATTTGTAATTATTCATTCTGAACTAATTCTTATACAAATATCAATATATGAAATAATCAATCGGTTGCAGTTCAGAAAATAAAGTGAAAACGAACGAAACTCGTAGATAGAATTAAGAAAGTCAACCTCCGATACTAGTCATTAAACTATCAACTTTCATTCGGCTTTTCTAAATTACTCATAAAATTTTTGAATAGGAGATTAGAAATTTAATAAACTATCTCTGTGTGTGGCATAAGGATATCTTTTGTCCTCCTTTTTGAGAATGAAACTTTTTGGCGCCAAAAATCTTAAAAACGATGAACAAAGTCGTTTTCCCGCCTTTTCTTGGCAGGTTTTTGAAAGTCTGTTTTTTGACATAATTCAGTCGAGGCTTTTGCATATTTCTCAAGTTTTACGCTTTTATTTCACTATAAAAATGACTCGAATAGGATTTGTTTTTATGATCTTAAAAAAGTTTGAATAATGGTAGAGTTTGCAAGGAGGTATAAAGACGACAAGACGCGGTTTTTTTGAGCAAAATGAAGTTTACTGTAGCACATGGGATTTCATAAACAAACCACATGCGACCTACAAAAGCCAAGAACAACAAGCACGTGGCAGCAATTAAAGATGAAAAGGRGTTTATTACCACCTAGCCTAGTGTGTGAATGAGTAATGAATGCCTTCTTCAACTGGCGTGTGCAAGTCAACCAGACATCACAAACACACAAAGAAGTAGTCTCTTACGATGCTCTTTTCTTCTCAAGTTATTCAAACTATCAGCAAGTTTAACACTTGGAGAATTAACAGTCAAAATGGGCTGTTTTACCAGCTAAATATCTTCACAGCGCCGTGGGAAAATGCTGGAAGAGTTTTCTTTTACATCTGTGAATGATTTATCTTGTTGGTGCCTTGTTAAACGTTTTTACTGGAGGCAAAGGTTGAACATTGACAAGAAGACCGCCATTTATGCAGAAGCCGTTACGACTAAAGAGTCACTTCACCAATCTTGCAGGTTAGTGAACTAGCTTATATATCTGTCTTACAAATCCCAAACGCTCGCCTAGYTCATATATTTTATTTGTTTCACTGAACATACAAATAAGATATAAAAAATTTTCAAGGGACAAGACGCGGTCAGAACGAACCCAGTATCGTTTGAAATTCATTCACGGTTTGAATTTTGAAAGTCGTTCTTTCATTTCACTTTCAAAGGGAGAAATTATTTATATTTTTGATTACCCTTGGTTGTTTGTTTTCGCATTTTCACATTCGGTGTTTCAGATACTTTGAATAATATATGAAATGCAGATAGCCAGTGTTTTGTAATAATGTTRCGTATTCGGCATTGGAAATGTTATTATATAACATTGAAAGCCTTCTACGATTACTTTGTGTTTATTTGTCTTTCATTTAGTTGATCTATCTACATTAAAACTTCAGTTTACTTCAGTTTATGAAATACAAATATCACTAATTATCATTGTTATTTTCGAGAATATGAACGACTCTCGGCACTTCGTTGCATTCGGCTTCATGCAGCAACCCATTTCTTATTTGCATCAACTAACTCGTCTAATCGAAACATGCATCGACTCGTTTCCTATTTGAAGCAACGCGTGTAACATGAGGCAACTCGTTTCTTCTTTACATCAAGTCGTTTTATTTGAAGCAAATTGTCTCTTATTTGAAGCGAATCGTCAGTGTAACATGCACCACCTTTCTTATTAGTGAAAGCAACCCTTTTGACATGCAGCAACTCGTTTCTTGCTTATAGCAACTGTTCTAAAATATAAAAATTAGAAAAGAAGAGAAAAGAAAAGGAAAATGAACGAAAACAAAGACAGATAAACAAAAAGACAGAAAGACAGAAAGAAAGAAAGAAAGAAAGAAAGAAAGAGAGAGAGAGAGAGATGTCTTTTATTTAATCTCGGGAAATTTCATCAATGTACAAATTGGTTTTCATGAAAACCGAGTTGATAGGTAATATATATCAAAAATTNGAAGGAAGGAAGGAAGAAAAAGACACCAATTTGGTGCTAGAAATACAAATATATCCAGTACTTAACTATTTCATGATTGGCTAATAAAACAATAGCTTCCCATATGTTTTGATACGCCTTCACTCGCCTGATTTATTTGCACCAATCAAATAAAAGATCAATTCGCTGTGCATTCTGGTACTAAAATATAAAATGATCGATTTTGAGCTATTTTTGTCGTCTTCTTTTCCACTGAAGACGATGTGTATTATATAAAAGTTATTTTAAAATGACGTGTAATTCTAGGATTTTCAGTCACTGATTGGTAACCATCAGCAGACAAGAGCGCGGACAACATTAGTTTTACTTTTATAATATTTATTAATTATGATTATTTTTTGAAGAAATGAATTTAAGATGCAATTTTTTTCTGGAGACGGTGTAATCAACTGGAAAGAGTTTTTTAAAAATCTAATCTTAGATTTTTTATTGRTTTTGGTATCCACCCATATCAGACAACAAAGGCGCGGGTATATACCCCTTGTTATTATTCATAATAGGATGATTAGGATGAAGAATTAAGTTAAGTAGAAGCAGGGAAAAATGTCACGAGCAGATGGAGAAATAAAATTATAGTGGTAGCGAAGAGGACAAGATAAATGATTCCCTGAAGGCAGAGAAAAGGCAATAGTGATGGAAGGAGTGAGTATTAGCCAAGTTAAAAAGAAGAACCGTGTATTTATTATAAAGTCGCATTGGTTTATGTAGGTAGGGCTGGGTTAATGAAGTCAATACATATATATAATATATATGATTAAAAACGGAAATGATTGGGAGCCAAAAGCGCCTAGAGAATAAATAAAGTAATATCAAAATATGGACAACACCAAATGGAACTTAAATAATGAAAAGAGTGAGAAAGCAGAGAGAAAGATAGAGAAAGAAAGAACGAAGGTAGGAGAGAGGACATATAAACGTTGATAAAGAGTATGACAGGAATCGAGAGAGAAACAAGAACACGGAACAAAGCGAATCCAAAATGGCAATGTACCGTAGAGCTAATGAAATAGTTAGCGTCATCAAAGCGCTTTGTGGTCATCTAGTAGACACAATACACCTTTTCACCGACTGACTCGACAGAAACACGGCATGTCGATTCTGGACTTGTTCCAAAACGTTTCAAAACCGTGACCTAGGTTCTACAATATAAAGCATGCCTAAAGCTATGTTTGCTAAAGGGACTTGATATCTCACAATAAGTATAGCAATAATGTTTTTGAACATTTTGAGTCATTAGAATTTGCCCTGAAGCTTTGCACGTCTCACACACTGAAACGCCTAACAGTCTGCTTTCTTTAGCAACAAATGCTTAATACTGAACCATGTGGTTATAAGCTTTAAAAACTCTTATTGTTAACGCTTATGCGAGGGTTTGTAAACCAAGGCGGTCGTGAGAGCCCATTGTTGTGGTAAAGGCGGGATATTAAGGTTGTTGGCTGAACATCTATCGACGGAAATGTGTGCCAAAGAATTGGTTAGAGGCAAGGATGAAAGTTGTGGTTAATATTGATTGAAATGACGTTGCGGTAACGATGATGTATGGTTTTGTGGTTGTGTTGTAAAGGTGATTTTTAGAGGTCAACAGTGATCATTATGAAATGCGGTAAGTCACTTGGATAGTGATTAAAAAATTCGATTGACGCTCATAAGCAACGACCATTAAAAGTGGTCAGCTTATCTTTAAGACCCTGTTGGAGGAAACAGTGGATGGATGGAATTGAAAGAACAAATAAATGAATGACTGAATAATTGAATGAGTGAACAAAGAAACAAATAATGGGTGGATGGATGGATGGATGGATGGATG